AATAAATATTTCTAAAACTAATAATTTGAAAAAAGGTATTTAGGACAATGACATTTCACATGGGAAAATTACTCGGACAAAGTCGAGTACAATTTTTTTTTGTTAGTTACAGCTATGGTAAATATATATATATATATACGTTGGCTTGGCTTGTTGATTTAGATTTGTTACAAAGTTACTGGTTGAGTAAGCACTTGTAACTGTCAGTGACACTACAACATCGGTAAAATAATAATTTAGTTTGTAACCTTTATCCATTACAACTTCAATGTTATTTTTAAACTACGTGTGAACTAGTTTTACTACTTTACTATCGTGTGTGTGTTAGTCTTTCTTTCTCTCTCTCTCTCTCTCTCTCTCTCTCTCTCTCTCTCTCTCTCTCTCTCTCTCTCTCTGTGTGTGTGTGTGTTTGTGTGTGTTTGTGTCATGCATCCCCCTCACTCAAGTGCCCTTATCATCTTCACAATTTTTTTTATACTATGTGTGTTCTAGTTTTTCTACTTTTCTCTCGTGTGTGTGTGTGTCTTTCTTTCTCTCTCTCTCTCTCTCTCTCTCTCTCTCTCTCTCTCTCTCTCTCTCTCTCTCTCTCTGTGTGTGTGTGTGTTTGTGTGTGGTTAAGTCATGCATACCCATCACTCAAATGACCTTATGACCTTGACACATTTACCTAAGTCTGCCTACGGTAAACCTATGATTTCTTCCAAACCAACATGTTTATCATTCATGTCCCGATGTTGACCAAAACATTCCCCATCCGCTAACAGTTCGTATTGACATGATGATGGTCGTGTTGACCAGCGTCTGGCCAAAACAAAATTGTTTGTTCGACCGTCATGCCAGAACAGTCGAGTGGTTATTGTCAAACATTGGACTTTATTAAATACTCTGATGTCCCAACCACATTTAAAATGAAAATTTTACATCATATCTAAATAGAGACGATTTCATTCTCCGAAAAGAAAAAAATACGCACCAAAAGCAGTTTTGTCATTTCAAAAAAAAAAAAAAAAATTAAAAAATAAAAATAAATCTCCTTTAGCGTCCCGAACGGGAATTATATTTTGCGTGCTAGTGAACTCATTATTGAGCCATACTTTCTTTCAAACATTTAGAATTATTTTTAAAATACTCTCAAAACCAAATACGCTGATTAGGTAGCAGTCAGAAGTGGAAGCATTCCACGAGTGACATCAGAAGCGTAATATATATATATATATTTAAGAGATCCGTGGACGGACACCATATAAAGATAGTGTGGCCGTCATAGCAATCAGAGATTAGATTTAGCTTTATCACACGTTTTCTTATTCCTCCAAGACACTTTTATTTCACGTGAAAATCTCGTTAATTTTGTACCTTCTTTTTTAACCCCAGGGGGTGGGGTGAAGGGAGGGAGGGTGCACTTTACTTCATGGGGGGGGGGCGGCACTTGAATTCATCGGGAAAGGGGGGGGGGTTCAGATTGGTTACAGACACTATAATTCAAACAAATTAATACAGGCTTAATTTAATATCCATGTACAGAGCACAAATAGCATAATGTGTCAAGTGTCCCTAATATAGAAGGTCAATGTTATTTGTTATTCATTGTTTGTTGTATTTGTTGATATTTGTTATTTATTATTTGTTGTTTGTTATTTGTTGTTTGTTATTTGTTGTTTGTTATTTATTGTTTGTTATTTGTTGTTTGTTATTTGTTGTTTGTTATTTGTTGTTTGTTATTTGTTGTTTGTTATTTGTTGTTTGTTATTTGTTGTTTGTTATTTGTTGTTTGTTATTTGTTGTTTGTTATTTGTTGTTTGTTATTTGTTGTTTGTTATTTGTTGTTTGTTATTTGTTGTTTGTTATTTGTTGTTTGTTATTTGTTGTTTGTTATTTGTTGTTTGTTATTTGTTGTTTGTTATTTGTTGTTTGTTATTTGTTGTTTGTTATTTGTTGTTTGTTATTTGTTGTTTGTTATTTGTTGTTTGTTATTTGTTGTTTGTTATTTGTTGTTTGTTATTTGTTGTTTGTTATTTGTTGTTTGTTATTTGTTGTTTGTTATTTGTTGTTTGTTATTTGTTGTTTGTTATTTGTTGTTTGTTATTTGTTGTTTGTTATTTGTTGTTTGTTATTTGTTGTTTGTTATTTGTTGTTTGTTATTTGTTGTTTGTTATTTGTTGTTTGTTATTTGTTGTTTGTTATTTGTTGTTTGTTATTTGTTGTTTGTTATTTGTTGTTTGTTATTTGTTGTTTGTTATTTGTTGTTTGTTATTTGTTGTTTGTTATTTGTTGTTTGTTATTTGTTGTTTGTTATTTGTTGTTTGTTATTTTTTAATATTTGTTTGTTATGTGTTTTTTTTATATTTGTTGTTTGTTATTTGTTGTTTGTTATTTGTTGTTTGTTATTTGTTGTTTGTTATTTGTTTTTTGTTATTTGTTGTTTGTTATTTGTTGTTTGTTATTTGTTGTTTGTTATTTGTTGTTTGTTATTTGTTGTTTGTTATTTGTTGTTTGTTATTTGTTGTTTGTTATTTGTTGTTTGTTATATGTTGTTTGTTATTTGTTGTTTGTTATTTGTTGTTTGTTATTTGTTGTTTGTTATTTGTTGTTTGTTATTTGTTGTTTGTTATTTGTTGTTTGTTATTTGTTGTTGTTATTTGTTGTTTGTTATTTGTTGTTTGTTATTTGTTTTTTTTTTATTTGTTGTTTTTATTTGTTGTTTGTTATTTGTTGTTTGTTATTTGTTGTTTGTTATTTGTTGTTTGTTATTTCATGTTTGTTTTTTGATTTTTGTTATGTGTTGTTTGTTATTTGTTTTTTTTTATATTTATTGTTTGATATTTGTTGTTTGTTATTTGTTTTTTTATTTTTTGTTGTTTGTTTATTGTTGTTTGTTATTTGTTGTTTGTTTATTGTTGTTTGTTATTTGTTTTTTGTTATTTGTTGTTTGTTTATTGTTGTTTTTTATTTGTTTTTTGTTATTTGTTTTTTGTTATTTGTTTTTTGTTATTTGTTGTTTGTTTATTGTTTTTTGTTATTTGTTGTTTATCATTTGTTTATACGTGTTTATCAAATATAAAATTAGATGATTTAATTATACATGCAAATGGAATTGTGTTCTGATTACACTGTACATTTTTATTATCATCATATCAACGAAAAAGATAGACATTTAACACTCTAGTTTACAAAAAATAACAACAAATTTTTACAACAAATTTTAACATCAAATTTTAACAACAAGTTTTAACCAAAAATTTTAACAACAAACTTCAAAAATGCGAGATACATATAATCTCACTACTGCATGCCATTCATTGGGAACGAGGCCCTGTAAAAAGTTGGGAATCACTGGCTTAAAGAATATTACTTAAATAAAAACAACTTAAGCTAAAATAATGTCACAAAAAAAAAAAAAAAAACAACAACAAGCAACAATGAGCCACTTATTAAAATTTAATTTATTTAGGGAACGAGGCCCTGTAAAAAGTTGGGAATAACTGGCTTAAAGAATATTACTTAAATAAAAACAACTTAAGCTAAAATAATGTCACAAAAAAAAAAAAAACAACAACAAGCAACAATGAGCCACTTATTAAAATTTAATTTATTTTCAGGAGAGATTTCTTGTGTGAAAAAAAAAATGACATGAAATAGTTAAAGGAATTTTTTTTTATTCTTCCTTTTCCTTCTTCTATAAATTAAAATGAGGTGAAAATATTTGCACTGGAGAGTACACTTGGTGCACAAGAAATATTACGGTGCTTTGGAGATTTTACTAGGTGCACTGGATATTGTACTCGGTGCACTGGATATTGTACTCGGTGCACTGGATATTGCACTCGGCGCACTGGATTTTGAACTCGGTGCACTGAAGATTGAAAACGGTGCACTTGAAGTTTTGGTTTGAAATGACAAAATCTTGTCTTGCTATTGGCTGGAAAACTACACACATTCACTTATAAAGAAATACAATGTATTTAATTAGACGTTTCCTTGCGACCAAGGTGTTTACAGTAGCACTATAAATAGAATCAGTTGAACATCGTAAGTAAACTCAACTATTTTATGCCAGACATTTAATACATAAAGTAGTTTTAAAAAACTGGGTTAAAATAGTAGTAAAAAGTATTGTTTACACAGTGCACAGGTTTATGCATCTAGTTGAACGCGCAACATGTTTTGCATTGATAGACATTGCTAATTGTGGTGCACAAGTCTTAGTGGTGTATTAAATGGTGAACAAATTGTGTTCATAGAAATGTGCACCGAATTTCATGATAGATTACATCTGAAATGGATGAACATAAGACGTTAATAATATAATCATGAATAATCCTGAATAATCATGAACCTCCAATGACATCGTACCCAACCATTCCGTCCCCTTTATCTTCACTTTCCCTTCACCCGCCCTGTTCCCCACCTCATTCCTCCCTGTTCCCCACCTCATTCCTTCCTGTTCCCCACCTCATTTCTCCCTGTTCCCCACCTCCACCTCTCTGTTCCCCAGATCCACCCTCCCTGTTCCCCACCTTCACCCGCCCTGTTCCCCACCTCATTCCTCCCTGTTCCCCACCTCCACCTCCCTGTTCCCCACCTCCACCCACCCTGTTCCCCACTTACACCCACCCTGTTTCCCCACCATTCACCCATACTCTCCAACTCCGTTCAACCACCCTGTTCCCACACCCTCCACCCACTTCATCACTTAGCCCAAAATTTACATTCACCCACTCTCTGTGACACACCCTCCCACACCTTCACCTCCCATTCAAACCGCGTTTAATTTAAGTGCAAAAATGTAATGTTTTTTTTTTTTTTTAATTTAAAAATTATCATTAAATTACAGTCATTTAATGAACCACAGTGGAAAATTAGATCAAATTGATTTTTTAAACATGATTAATCAAAATNAATTTACATTCACCCACTCTCTGTGACACACCCTCCCACACCTTCACCTCCCATTCAAACCGCGTTTAATTTAAGTGCAAAAATGTAATGTTTTTTTTTTTTTTAATTTAAAAATTATCATTAAATTACAGTCATTTAATGAACCACAGTGGAAAATTAGATCAAATTGATTTTTTAAACATGATTAATCAAAATGATATAAATCTCAACATTCTACCAGTAACCACAATCTTGTGATAACAAGGACAACTATCAATAATCCATAATATCAATACTCCATTCACTTTCAGAGGTTCGTATTCCTTCAGATCGAGAGCATGATCTTTGTGATATCTCAGACGGTCTGTGAGACTTCCCTTACCATCACACTTTATATTACGAAATAAACCGAAATATTGGATACGTCTCTAATATTTTCTGTAACAAAATCTCTGTAAAATGTAGATCATAAGTCAATATGACTTGTCTGTTACATTGACAGTTACAGAAGTCAACCTCCTATCAATCAGGCACATTGGAATAAATCACCTTAATCTGACAGTCATTGGTATTCTGTTCTTGCAATTCATCATTGTGTACCCCCAGCCAGCACGGTTTGAGATCACATCCTAAGTTGTAGGCTGTTCATTCAATGTAGCGATAGCTACAGTGGGGGGTAATGATACGTCACGGAAGCACATATGTTAACGGGGTGGGGGGTCTAACATATAAACAAGTCTTAGGGGGGTCTAACATATAAACAAGTCTAGGGGGCTAATCTTACATATAAATTATTTTTGGGGTTGATCTAACATAAAAAGAAGTCTATGGTACGTAACATAAATAAGTCTGAGTGGTTCTAACATATAAACATGTCTTGGTTTAGGAACACAATCCATACTACGCTTGACACTGTATTATTAAAATAAATAAATAGATTATCCATATAATAAGAAGTTCCATGAAATGACCACTGGTACGTGCTTGGAGTAGCCCCATCATGGATACGCGACTCCGTGAAATGACCAATGGTGCGTGCTTGGAGTACCCCTCATCATGGATACGCAGCTAACGCATCATCACTTGCCATCTTCATTTTACTGCAAATATTCTCTAGTTCATAGCTACGGTGAAAGAGTTCATTCCCTGAGACTGTGGCCCTCCAGTGTTGAGGCTAATTGCCAAGTGTTATATGGCGGGCCAGTCGTTGGGCCGTCAGCAGGAATGAGACGAGCAGCAGAACCGACTGACCCATGGCGGGCGCTGTGGCATAGTGGGCGCTGTCTTCTGGGAACGAAAGAGGAATACAATAAATTGGACGATTTAGTTAACGCGTAAAAAAATATTTAAAACTTTGGTGTTATTTCCGTTTACGAAACAATTCTATAGCCTAGGTCAGGCCTGCACAATTCAAAATGTAAGGCGGGTCGTATGTTGTGTAGGTCGTATGTTGTGTAGGTCTTATGTTGTGTAGGTCGTATGTTGTGTAGGTCTCATGTTGTGCAGGCCTGGCTTAGAAGGTAGAATATTGATACTCCAACAATGGCCGTATTTATAGAGAAAGGGGGGGGGGGGGAATTGTAAGATGGCGGTGCGCAAATTTCAAAAATAATTCATAACAGGGGACAGCTAACTGAGGTAAAATACCCCAGGGGGTGGGGGGCGGGAGTAAACATTGATCACGAGGAAGCAATCAAAATGTTGCTATCCGTTTACGAAACAATTCTATAGCCTAGGTCAGGCCTGCACAATTCAAAATGTAAGGCGGGTCGTATGTTGTGTAGGGCGTATGTTGTGTAGGTCTTATGTTGTGTAGGTCGTATGTTGTGTAGGTCTCATGTTGTGCAGGCCTGGCTTAGAAGGTATAATATTGATACTCCAACAATGGCCGTATTTATAGAGAAAGGGGGGGGGGGGAATTGTAAGATGGCGGTGCGCAAATTTCAAAAATAATTCATAACAGGGGTCAGCTAACTGAGGTAAATGACCCCAGGGGGTGGGGGGCGGGAGTAAACATTGCTCACGAGGAAGCAATCAAAATGTTGCTGCATTTCGCGACCAACAATCTTTGCGAATTTTTCACTCAAATGCATATTAAAAGAAAAATAGAAATGAATCATCTAACACAACCTCCCCCCCCCCTTTTTTTTTTGTATTAAAAAAATCCACTATCCAAATTTTCTCCTTAAGGAAAAGCTCCAATTTCGATGACATCATTGTATAAAAAAATAAACCCAAAAAACACATAATTTCTGCAAAAATTTTAGTGACACTTGTTTTCAAAGAAATCATTTTGTTCCGTCATTGGTATTTGATATCTTTATTCGATGTTATTTTGTGCTCTGTATTTTTATAATTGTATGCTTTATATAACTAAATACAATTAATCATTTAAAAGTTTTAACAAATCTTTATGATATTCTTCTTTTCAAATCCATTTGGGGGTGGGAGAGGGTGATGGTTAACGGTGGGTTAAAATAACTTAATAGTATTGCTGATTTTTTATTTGTATTTCTTCATTGCAACTCAGGAAAAAATTACTCTGAAATGATGCATTTATTGAACGGACATCTATTGCCAGGCTATCGAATATAACTGCAACCATTGGAAAGCGAGCTTTATGGTTTAACTAAATCTTGCATGGTGTTAATCAACATGTTATTGACCACATCTTATACAGTTATTTTAAATTAAAGACTTGCAGTAGGAGGCGTATCATCTGACATTGAACTTAACAAACGTATATAAGTATTTAATGAGTGGCGTATTTTGTCTATAAAGGAATAAGCGAAACAAAAAATACGTTAAAAAAACCAAAACAACCAACGTGTAGACATGAAACCTTCATCAGCGGACAAACAACAGTAAAAACCGAATAAAATAAAAATAACGCTTATGGTGTTTAAAGAAGAAGGAAACGTTCAGCATTGCACGTGTTCAACTTCACGCTTGAATTATTTTCCACAATTAATAGGGATTTGTTTCTAGGTCCGGCTTAGTAAACAGCTTTCTCTTACATTCTTTCTTCTTGGGGAAAAGGGCTTTGAAGTAGATTTGTTTTTTACATTTCGTTGTATAATATATAGATCAGGACCAGAGGCGTATCTGGAGTTGGACTAGACAAGACATATATCATAAGCGTCAGTACATTTGCTGGCCCAAAAATTTGGAACACACTTCCTGTCGCTCTCAGAAACAACCAGACACTGGAATCTTTCAAAACCGATTTGAAAACATATTTATTTCGCAAACACCTGTTGGGGTGATGTTGTCTACCATCAATTCCAGCTAGCTATTATCTCCTATAACTTTAGTGGCCTGTGTTGTTTATGGTTGCAAGGGATGAAGGACTTAAAATGGGTATTCTCGTATATGGTTTTCGTAATGTTGCGTTATGTATTTTAATGTGGTAAAATATAGATTTTTTCATTTCTCTTTTAATATGGATGTCTTTGTACCGCGCTTCCAACCTTTGGGTATGAAGCGTGATTTAAAATAAGCTTTATGAACATTATTATTAATTCTAATCCCCACCTTGGCCTAAGATGATAGATCCATGTCATAATTGAAAATTAATCAATTGGCTGTGCTTGTTATTTATATCGTTATACTCTTAACGCAAACGCCTCTGGTCCATATGAACGAGAAGAGAGACTCCGTAGGAATATGTTACGATGAACGTAGACAAATGTCATGGACTTACTGCAAGCCGCCTGGTTCACAATGGCGGCCAGCGTCTCCTGTTTTAGCGTCAGCAGCTCCACATTGGCGTCACATATCTTCAGGTTTCTGACGCAGGCGTAGTACTCGAACGTCGCCTCCCTGGTGCGATACAAAATATAAACATGACATTGAAACTGGCGTAAAACTTACCTTTAAAAATGAAGAGTAAATATTTAACAGTTTGTCATTCGTCGGGTCAAAGGTCAGATGGATCAAGTTATAGGTCAGATGGCTCCAGAAAGAGGTCAGATGGTTCAAGTCATAGGTCTAATGTTTCAAGTCAAAGGTCAGATGGCCAAAGTCATAGGTCAGATTGCTCAAGTCATAGGTCATATGGCCAAAGTCATAGGTCAGATGGCTCATGTCATAGGTCAGATGGTTCAAGTGAAGTTCAGATGGCTCAAGTCTAAAGTCACATGGCTTAGGTCATATGTCAGATGGTTCAAGTCAAAGGTCAGATGGCTCCAGTCATAGGTCAGATGGCTCAAGTCATAGGTCAGATGGCTCATGTCATAGGTCAGATGGTTTAAGTGAAGGTCAGTTGGCTCAAGTCAAAGGTCACATGGCTTAGGTCATATGTCAAATGGCTCAAGTCATAAGTCAGATGATTCACTTTCAAAGGTCAGATGGCTCAAGTTGAAGTTAAGATGGCTCAGTTCATAGGTCAGATGGCGTAAGTCATAGGTCAGATGGCTCAAGTTGAAAGTAAGATGCAAATGGCTGAAGTCATAGGTCAGATGAATCAAGTCAAATGTAAGATGGCCCAAGTCATGTGTAAACAACAAACATTTTAAAATGTGACTTATGTCATGCAAAACGGATTCAATCTCATTCGAGTTTAATAAGATGGCATATAAGTTATTCTTTACAGGTGATAATTTATTTCATTACAGCAACTCATGCAAGGCTTTCATGGCGTGGAACATCCTTTACTGTAACCAATCGAGACCTAACGTCTTCATTGATACAACAGATAGTTACGGTCTTTAGAATATCACTGTCTGCGACATCCCGTGGCGGGGACAATATTAAACTGTTTTACTTAAAAAAATATGAATATTTATTAAAACGTGCATAACAGCACGTTTGAAAACATGGTTTGAGTGTAGCTACCACAACAAGTTGAAAAGATTGAATTTTGGCCGTTAAAAGTTCGTTTTTCTTTATTTCCCTTTATATAAGGCCGTAGAGAACAAAAATATATTAATGGGAGACAATTTTTCTGGTATCAAAGTATTAAAGTAAACCATTCCTCTGTTTTAACCCCAATAGATGTGATGGCAGTGATGACATTGATGACAGTGATAACAGTTATGGTTGTGATGGCAGTGATGACAGTGATGGCAGTGATGGCAGTGATGACAATGACGACACCGTGACAGCGAGGACAATGATGACAGCGATGACAGCGATGACAGCGATGACAGTAATGGCAGTGATAACAGTGATGGCAGAGATGACAGTGATGACAATGATGGCAGTGATGGCAGTGATGGCAGTGATGACAGTGATGACCGAGATGACAGTATAGAAGCTATTCATACAGTCATTTGACAGAACAATTACCTTGTGGCTGATGCTTTTCTGAATTCTTGTCCGCATAGCTCAGTCTGGTTACTGCATAATGACGGCGAGGCTGTTGGTGACGTTGACGGTGAGGTTGTCGGTGAGGATGTCGGTGTGGCTGTTGGTGTGGCTGTCGTTGAGATGGAATCGGCAATGTGCAAAACTGCTGAAATAGGGACAGTGTTAAAAATAACTTAATACATCTTATTGTATAAATTATTTTCCTGTTTGAAAATAACAGTTAAGATTGGCCATGTGCATAGAGAGGGTTTATCGTGGAGTCTAAACAGTGTCCTGTGCACAGAGTAGGTCAGGTCTGTCATTTTTAAAAAAAGTCGGGGTGCCATGTGTACGGAGTTGGGGTGCCATGTGTACGGAGTCGGGGTGCCATGTGTACAGAGTTGGGGTGCCATTTGTACAGATTCGGAGTGCCATGTGTAAAGAATTGGGGCGCCATGTGTACTAAATTCAGCCATCATCCACTGAACCTGTTGTTATACATTTAAAAAAAATGCAATTGAAAAAAAACAACGAGAAAATTTGTTATGAGGGCGCCAATCCTATGTGTTTATCGGATCACTTATCACGGAACTAACTAAACACATTGCCAGTCAACAACATCCCATTACTATTATACTGGATATTTTTAATGGCATCGCTTATTTTTTTATCTCGTTGGCTATGGATACATATTTTCTCCGCTATGACTGTGGTCAGTAGAGCATGACGTGATAGACTAGAACAAAGTTTTGCAGATTTCGCAATGAGTTGCGAGATTACGAATAATGCGCATTTGCCAAAATCTTACCCCCCCCCCCCGATTCAAAGCGAACGTTTGATTTGAGAAACTATTTTGGTGTCAAGGGTGGTTTGAGAAAATATGTTGGTGTCAAGGGTGATTCGAGAAACTATGGTGGTGTCAAGGGTGATTTGAGAAACAATGGTGGTGTCAAGGATGATTTGAGAAAATATGGTGTTGGCAAGGGTGATTTGAGAAGCTATGTAGGTGGCAAGGGTGATTTGTAAAACTATGGTGGTGTGAAGGGTGATTTGGGAAACTATGGTGGTGTCAAAGGGGGATTTGAGAAACTATGGTGGTGTCAAAGGTGATTTGACAAACTATGGTGGTGTCAAGGGTGATTTAAGAAACTATGGTATTGTCGAGGGTGATTTGAGAAACTATGTTTGTGTCAAGAGTAATTTGAGAAACTATGGTGGTGTCAAGGGTTATTTGAGAATCTATGGTGGTGTCAAGGGTGACTTGAGAAACTATGGTGGTGTCAAGGGTGATTTAAGAAACTATGATGATGTTAAAGGTTATTTGAGAAACTATGTTGGTGTCAAGGGTGATTTGAGAAACTATGGTGGTGTCAAGGGTGATTCTAGAATATATGGTGGTGTCAAGGGTGACTTGAGAAACTATGGTTGTGTCAAGGATGATTTGAGAAAATATGGTGTTGGCAAAGGTGATTTGAGAAACTATGGTGTGTCAAGGGATATTTAAGAAACTATGGTGGTGTCAAATGTGATTTGGGAAACTATGGTGGTTTTAAGGGTAATTTGAGAAATTATGGTGGTGTCAATGGTTGATTTGGGAAACTGGTGGCATCAAGGGTGATTTGAGAAACAATGGTGGTGTCAAGGGTGGTTTGAGAAGCTATATTGGTGTCAAGGGGGATTTGAGAAACTATGGTGGTGTCAAGGGTGATTTGAGAAGCTATATTGGTGTCAATGGTGATTTGAGAAACTATGGTGGTGTCAAAGGTGATTTGGGAAACTATGGTTGTTTCAAGGGTTATTTGGGAAACTATGGTGGTGTCAAGTGTGATTTGAGAAACTATGATGATGTCAAGGGTTATTTGAGAAACTATGGTGGTGTCAAGGGTGATTTGATAAGCTATATGGGTGTCAATGGGGATTTGAGAAACTATTGTGGTGTCAAAAGCAGATTTAAGAAACTCTGGTGGTGTCAAGGGTTATTTGAGAAACTATTGTGGTGCCAAGGGTGATTCGAGAACGATGTTGGTGTCAAGGGTGATTTGAGAAACTATGTTGGTTTCAACTGGATTTTAGAAACTATATTGGTGTCAAGGGTGATTCGAGAATCTATGGTGGTGTTAAGGGAGATTTGAGAAACTATATTGGTAAGGGTAATTTGAGAAACTATTTTGGTGTCAAGGATGATTTGAGAAAATATGGTGTTGGCAAGGGTGATTTGAGAAGCTATGGTGGTGTCAAAGGAATTTGAGAAACTATGTTGGTGTATTTGGTGATTTGAGAAAATATGGTGGTGTCAAACGATATTTGAGAAACTTTTGTGGTGTCAAGGGTGATTTGAGAAACGATGTTGGTGTCAAGGGTGATTTGAGAAACTATGTTGGTTTCAAGGTGGATTTTAGGAACTATGGTGGCGTCAAGGGGGATTTGAGAAACTATGGTTGTGTCCAGGGGGCTTTGCGAATCTATGGTGGTGTCAAGGGGGATTTGAGAAACTATTGTGGTGTCAAGGGGATTGGAGAAACTATAATGTGTTAAGGGTGATTCCAGAATCTATGGTGGTGTCAAAGGGGATTTGAGAAACTATATTGGTGTAAGGGTGATTGGAGAAACTATGTTGGTGTCAAGGTTGATTTAAGAAACTGTGGTGTTGTCAAGTGTGATTTGAGAAACTATGGTGGTGTCAAGGGTGATTTGAGAAACTATGGGTGTGTCATGAGACGATTTGAGAAATTATGGTGGTGTAAAGGATGATTTGAAAAACTATGGTGGTGTCAAGAGGGATTTGAGAAACTATGGTGGTGTCAAGTGGTATTTGAGAAACTATGGTGGTGTCAAAGGATATTCCAGAAACTATGATGGTGTGAAGGGGGATTTGAGAAACTGTGGTGGTGTCAAAGGGAGATTTATGAAACTCTTGTTGTGTAAAGGGTTATTTGAGAAGCTATTGTGATGTCAAGGGTGATTCGAGAAACGATGTTGGAGCCAAGGGTGATTTGAGAAACTATGTTGTTTCAAGGGGGATTTGAGAAAAGATGTTGGTGTCAAGGGTGAGTTGAGAAACTATGTTGGTGTCAAGGGGGATGTGAGAAATTATGGTGGCGTCAAGCGTTATTTGAGAAACTATGGTGGTGGCAAGTGTGATTTGAGAAACAATGGTGGTGTCAAGGATGATTGGGAAAACTATGGTGGTTTCAAGGATGTTTTTTGAAACCAATATGATGTCAAGGGTGATTTGAGAAACTATGATAGTATCATTGGTGATTTGAGAAAGTATTATGATATAATGGATTATTTGAGAACATATAATGGTGTCATGGGTTATTTGATAAAAAATGATGGTGTCACTGGTGTTTTGAGAAGCTACAATGCTTTAAGGGTGAAGTGAGAAACCATGATGCTGTCACGGGTGATTTGAAAAATTGTGATGGTTTAAAGGGTGATTTGAGAAACTATTGTGATGTTATGGGTGATTTTAGAACCTATAATGTTGTCATGGGTGATTTGAGAAATAATCTATACAGATTTACTCTATTCACCAACCATTTTTCTTGATATTTTAATGGAAAAAAAAATGCAACGCATAAGATATAGTAATAGTAATTCTATGTTTCTGAAACAGTTCGTGAGCGCTCTCTCCTTGTTGATTTCTTGATCGCATATTTTAAAGAAACTGCGATTAAGATTAAAGGTGGCAGAATGGATTCAAACCTTGGGATCAAGTTGAACATTGAACACAGACAGACGTCTTGGTGTTTTTCAAAATTTTATTTTATTGCAAAAATCTGACGGAAGGCAAATAAATTCATCTTAGACGTAATTTCTAGAAACGCATTATTATTTTCGTTTAGTTCAGGAATTTAAGAAGACCTTTAATTTTCATGTGCTACTTTTGCCGTCGTCAGGCGCGTCACAGTATTGTTTTTAAATTTGCTTGTGGCAGGAGACTTTTTACTTGAAAAATCCTTTTTTTTTTCCTTGTGTTTTTTTTTTTTTAAATTGAAATAATATTGAACTGATATGACTTTGATTTAAAATACTGATTTAAAAATATTCTCTACCATTTATATTAAAAATGTTAATTTTATTGAATGGTGCTATGTTAAAATTATCAAAAATGTATCACTATATCAATACATTGCAGTGCAGATGTTGGAATAGTGATTTGAGCTATTATGCTCATTACATGTTTTTACATTAAAAAAAAATATTTTGTTTATAAACATGAATAAAGAATCACTTTAACACCACTGCATTTTACTGATATTTAAAAAAACCCACTTATATTGCTGAGTAATTGGTAGTTACAGAGCACTTTTCTTTAGTACCGGCTACGAATGTGAATTAAAAACAAAAAATCTCAACCACTTAATAGCAAGAAAACTCACTCACCAGCAACGATGAAAAGAGTCTTAGCCAACATTCTTGGATCACGCACCGCCCGCCAGTCAGGTTGTCTTAAAGGTTCGTACCTGACTTGTCCAGGCTTTTAAACGAACGGTGGGAACGAAAATGGGGAGAAAAAGTGGGGGGGGGGGGCGAGGACTTACCGCGTTTTACGATGTCTCTCAAAAAGTTAATCTAGGGTATAAATTAAATATGTGCAAAGAATTTTTTATAAAAATATTCACCATTTAGGTTGCGAAGTCATGTAGTTAATATCAAACAGTTGAACAGGTCAGGAAAGATTACATAGAATTATTATGGGTCATATTAGTTTTTTAAACAAGGATGATTTGTCAGTTTTAAGGTTGTTAAAAACATCACTGGATTTCTAACAAAAGTTTTTCACCAATTCGATGTCGTCATAAGCAGAACAAGATCTTGATTGATTCACATGAGAGTTGGTCCCCATGAACTCTCTAAGCAAAACAATTGATATCCAAATTATTTAAAAACCCTGGACTTAAAAAGCGATAATTTCATGCAGGTTCCTTTGTCTTTGTAAAACATACTCTCGTCAACTAGGTCCATAACATCAACTTAGTCTATGACATCAAATTAGTCCATGAAATCAACTTAGTCCATAACATCAACTTAGTCCATGACATCAACATAGTCCATGAAATTAACTTAGTCCATGACATCAACTAAGGCCATGAAATTAACTTAGTCAATGACATCAACATAGTCTATGACATCGACTTAGTCCATGACATTAACTTAGTTAATGACATCAACATAACCCATAGCATATACTTAGTCCATAACAGCAACGTAGTCAATGACATCAACTTAGTCTATGACATTGACTTTATCCTTGACATCAAGATAGTCTATGACATTAAAATAGTCCATGACATCAACATAGTCCATGACATCCATTAAGTCTATGACACTGACTTAATCTATGACATCAAGATAGTCCATGACTTCAACTTAGTCCATGACATCAACAAAGTCGATGTCATAAACATAGTCCATGACATCAACATAGTAAAAACATCAACTTAGTCCATGACATTAACTTAGTCCAGGATAACATTTTTAGTCAATGACATTGACATAGTCTATGACATCAACATAGTTCATGACATCATATTCCATGACATCAACTTAATCTACGACATTTACTTTGTCTAAGACATCAAGATAGTCCATAACATCAACAGAGTCCATGACATCAAGATAGACATGACATCAACATTGTCCATGACATCAACATAGTCCATGACATCAACTTAGTCTATGACATTGACTTTATCCTTGACATCAAGATAGTCTATGACATTAAAATAGCCTATGACATCAACATAGTCCATGACACTTAGTTCCTGACGTCGACTTAGTCTATTAGATCTACTTAGTCCATGACATCATCTTAGTCCATGACATCAACTTAAGTCTACCACATTGACTTAGTCTATGACATCAACTTAGTCCATGAATCAACATAGTCCATGACATCAAGATAGTCCATGACATCAACTTAAGTCTATGATAACAATTTAAGTCCATGACATTGACTTAGTCCATGATATCAACCTAGTCCATGACATTGACTAAGTCCATGACATCAACCTAGTCCATGACATCGACTTAGTCAAGATATCAACTCAGTACTTGATATCAACTCAGTTCTTGATATCAACTTAGTCCATGACATCAACTTAGTCTATGACGTCAACTTAGTCCATTATATCAACTTAGTCTATGATATCAACTTGGTCTATGACATCATCCTATTCCATGATATCAACTTAATCTATTACATCAACTTACTCCATGGCTTCAACTTAGTCCATGACATCAACCTAGTCTATTACATCAACATAGTCCATGGCATCAACTTAGTCTATTACATCAACATAGTCCATAACATCAACCTAGTCTATTACATCAACTTAGTCCATGATATCAACCTAGTCCAAGACATCAACTTAGTCCATTACATCAACTTAGTCTATTACATTAACTTAGTCCATGATATACACTTAGTCCATGACATCAACTTAGTCTATTACATCAACTTAGTCCATGATATAAACCTAGTCCATGAAATCAACTTAGTCCATGACATCAACTTAGTCTATTACATCAACTAAGTCCATGATATCATCCTAGTCCATGACATCAACTTAGTCTATTACATCAACTTAGTCAATGATATCAACCTATTCCATGACATCAACTTAGTCCATGACATCAACTTAGTCTATTACATCAACTTAGTCCATGATATCAACTTAGTCTATGACATCAACATAGTCAATTACATCAACTTATTCTATTACATCAACTTAGTCCATGATATCAACTTAGTCCATGACATCAACTTAGTCTATTACATCAACTTAGTCCATGATATCAACCTAGTCCATGACATCAACTTAGTCTATTACATCAACTTAGTCCATGATATCAACCTAGTCCATGACATCAACTTAGTCCATGACATCAACTTAGTCTATTACATCAACTTAGTCCATGATATCAACTTAGTCTATGACATCAACATAGTCCATGACATCAACTTAGTCTATTACATCAACTTAGTCCATGATATCAACTTAGTCCATGCCATCAACTTAGTCTATTACATCAACTTAGTCCATGATATCAACCTAGTCCAAGACATCAACTTAGTCCATTACATCAACTTATTCTATTACATCAACTTAGTCCATGATATCAACTTAGTCCATGACATCAACTTAGTCTATAACATCAACTTAGTCCATGATATCAACCTAGTCCATGACATCAACTTAGTCTATTACATCAACTTAGTCCATGATATCAACCTAGTCCATGACATCAACTTAGTCCATGACATCAACTTAGTCTATTACATCAACTTAGTCCATGATATCAACTTAGTCTATGACATCAACATAGTCCATGACATCAACTTAGTCTATTACATCAACCTAGTCCATGACATCAACTTAGTCCATGACATCAACTTAGTCTATTACATCAACTTAGTCTATTACATCAACTTAGTCCATGACATCAAATTAGTCTATTACATCAATTTAGTCTATTACATCAACTTAGTCTATTACATCAACATAGTCCATAACATCAACCTAGTCTATTACATCAACTTAGTCCATGATATCAACCTAGTCCAAGACATCAACTTAGTCCATTATATCAACTTAGTCTATTACATCAACTTAGTCCATGATATCAACTTAGTCTATTACATCAACTTAGTCTATTGCATCAACTTAGTCCATGATATCAACTTAGTCTATGACATCAACTTAGTCCATGGCGTCAACATTTTATCGGGAAAAAGGTTTAAAGTTTTCGATTCATTTCTATTTTTAAAAATTCGGCTAGCTGGAAGCACTTGGACAAATTGTTTGAGAACCGCTGTTATAAGATGGTTCTGATGTATGGGAAGATACAATTTGTATATGTTCTATCTTCTGATCTCTGTGGGTGTATCCATTACACTTTTAGCTGACTTCATTACAGAACCCAGCACCACGCAACAACCCGGTGTTTAGATGCCCGGGAGAAGTGCCCCAGTGACCGTATTCTTAAGTACAAATACTTTACATGGAAATGCCCCCCCCCCCTTTTTCCCGAGACGCACCCAGTGGTCCCCAGTTCACCTGTTAGCCCGTCCTATCCGCCTAGTGTTATTTGAATGACTGACCCGCGAACTTCCCTCAGACGTTATTTGTGACGTACTGTTTGTGGTAAATTTTCCGTACCCAGCACCACGCAACAACCCGGTGTTTAGATGCCCGGGAGAAGTGCCCCAGTGACCGTATTCTTAAGTACAAATACTTTACATGGAAATGCCCCCCCCCCTTTTTCCCGAGACGCACCCAGTGGTCCCCAGTTCATCTGTTAGCCCGTCATATCCGCCTAGTGTTATTTGAATGACTGACCCGCGAACTTCCATCAGACGATATTTGTGACGTACTGTTTGTGGTAAATTTTCCGTAGACAGTTACAGTTATTGTTATTGATACAGTGATGGTTACTGATACAGTGATTGTCATTGATACAGTGATTGCTATTGATATAGTGATTCTTATTGATACAGTGATTGTCATTGATACAGTGATTGTTATTGATACAGTGATTGTTATTGATATAGTGATTGTTATTGATACGGTGATTGTTATTGATACAGTGATTGTTATTGATACAGTGATTATAATTGATAAAATGATTGTTATTAATACAGTGATTGTTATTGATACAGTGATTGTTACTGATACAGTGATTGTCATTGATACAGTGATTGTTATTGATACAGTGATTGTTATTGATACAGTGATTGTTATTGACACAGTGATTGTTATTGATACAGTGATTATAATTGATACAGTGATTGTTATTGATACAGTGATTGTTATTGATACAGTGATTATAATTGATACAGTGATTGTTATTGATACAGTGATTGTTATTGATACAGTGATCGTTATTGCTATTGATACAAAGATTTTTAAATGTTATTGATATGTATAAGAGACATTTCTTCTGTCAGACATAAGAGACATTAATTCTGTCAGACATAAGAACCATTAGTTAATTTCAGTTGTAAATTTAAGTTGTTGATTTCAGTTGTTGATTTCAGTTGTTGATTTCAGTTGTTGATTCCAGTTGTTGATTTCAGTTGTTGATTTCAGTTGTAAATTTAAGTTGTTGATTTCAGTTGTTGTTTTCAGTTGTTGATTTCAGTTGTTGATTTCAGGTTTGATTTCAGTTGTAAATTTAAGTTGTTGATTTCAGTTGTTGTTTTCAGTTGTTGATTTCATTTGTTGATTTCAGGTGTTGATTTCAGTTTTAAATTTAAGTTGTTGATTTCAGTTGTAGATTTCAGTTGTTGATTTCAGTTTTGTTTTCAGTTGTTGATTTCAGTTGTTGATTTCAGTTGTTGATTTCAGGTGTTGATTTCAGTTGTAAATTTAAGTTGTTGATTTCAGTTTTTGTTTTCTGTTGTTGATTTCAGTTGTTGATTTCAGTTGTTGATTTCAGTTGTAAATTT